ATACTACGAAATGAATAAGTTCCAATTACTAAGCTCTAATTCTGAAGAAAAAAAAGTAAGCTTTGCACTGTTACGTAGGCTATCATCGCCAATTTCCAAGCGCTAAAAATAGCGCCACACAGAAGAGTACAAAGTCACCTCGCATTTTGGTTTTTCTACAATGCAATGAAGCCAGTGAATGTGCGGCAGCTCTTAGTAACTGTAGGGGTGGTCTTTTTTTTTTCATTATTATTTCCCTGTTTCAAGGTCAGGGAGCAGACGCTCCTTGACCCTGAAGCAGGGCCAGACGTAAATTCACCTAGGAACCCGAAGCCGAAAGACAAACACGTCTGGCAGATTGTCCCAATTGAATGTCTTCAGGGACCTGATTGGGCGACCAGGACATTCTGCAATCTCTCTTAACCTCTGACCAGACGGGGCAAACCAAAAGGCAGATATCTAATAAACGTATCATCAATCAATCATCGTTGAGTTGGGAACGGGCACCTGCGCAACCCTTTGAAGTTCATCTCCCGCAGTGCGCCGCGTAAGCTGTCGTGAGTGACAGGTACTTTGTTCAGCGCCTACGAAGTAGCCGCGGTCCTCACCGTACGCGGTAGGACACCTGACGCCGAGGCGTCCTTTATTTGTCACCAACAACCAACCCTCCAGCATCTAGCATCACCCACGATCCCTCGACGACAGTCACCAAAAGTACACATTGAGGTCCGGCAAAACAACCTTGAACATCATCAGTGTGGGGTTTTTAACGAGCGGCACTTTCTATGTAAATTTAGCGGAAAATTAGCTCAGGAAGTTTTGACATCATGTGATACCGTGAGTCACGTTGTACTGTGACGTCATGTGACACCATGGCGTCACCTGACATTGCGACATGGCCAACGTGATGAACTTACGCAGTAAGAATGAGCAGGAATGACATTGAAGGATTCGCGTAGCGCGGTGCAGGTACTTTTTGTTTCTGGGTGGGGCTGAAAGTGCATGAATGTATAATTGTAAGAGATTGGTGGAAAAGGAGAGTTTCAAGTTGCTGAGTGCGTTTACTGAGCCAGGAAAGGTGATATTGACGAGACAAATTCCCTGAAACACGAGGTGAAACTACGAATGTGGGGTGCGCGTTCGTGGTAGGGGTCAAAACTTCCACGGAGGTGAATCCGCAATTTTTACCGTCCACTCCGTCGTACCCGCCGCCGCGAGTGCAATCGAAAGAAAAATTGAGTGCGTTCTGAATGTGAAGCTCTTAATCTGAAAAATCAACGCAAGTGACGACAAGGTAACGCGCATTGCTCTTTCAGTTGCGAATAATCGCGAATTTCAACTCTGGCGTGCTGGAATCAAATACTTGGATATGTCCTAACCTAGAAATTGTAGTTGGGAGGTATTTCTGGAGCTCGTTGCCTCCGCTAGGGGAATATTTGTGGCTAGTGGTTGGCCACAGAAAGGCTGTCGATCATCGCTCCCAACGTCATCGAAACAATTTCGACCAACGACGTGCACTTATTTTTGTTTTATTCTTACCAGTTAATGGTAAAACTCTACATATACCGCTCTGCCATAGAGTACGTGAAGCGCCATCTAGACGCTGTGCTTCGAAACATACGTATTCCATAAATACACCGCAGTTGCGTCTATGGGCGGTTGCGTAACTGGGCTAATCATTAGTCGGTGACAGTTTAGAATTCAGGAGAAACCCCTCCCACCCCTTTCCACTTCAGCGGAGCGAACGCTGGAGAGGAGGCGACCTCCTCTCCAGCGTTCGCTCTGCTAAAATAGAAATGGATGGGAGGAGCTTCCCCCGAACTCTTAACCTGTCACTCACTGTAGACAGTTTTTTCGTGACGGCCGCCACGTTGAACTTTAACGTAGCTGAATTGGGTCAAAATAGCAAATCACTTTATTTGCCGATTGGAAGGCGCCAGAATTCAAGGGGGGTCGTGCCAATAGTTTAACTTTTTTCTGAGCTATACTTTTTTATTGTAGATATATATGCTTACACTATCTACTTTATTTTTTTGCCAGGCAACCCAACTACGTCCTATTTCAACATGGCAACCGTCACACGGCCTGTAGTAACGTTGGACATGGCATGGTCACGTGACGTCGACACCATGACGTCGAGTGAGGCGTGACATGACATCATAATGTCAGCCATTACAGGTACATTACAGGCAGGTACTATGACGTCAAACCAACAGCTTCGCTCCGTTGCTGACAATCTCTTCGTGGCCTCGCTGTACGTGACATCATCATCATCCCCAATACGAGCAAGCAAAGGTGCGTGGAGGGTTCCCACATAAAGATATCGCTTTAAAAAAAAAGGAGAAGAGGCAAAAAGAGCATTAAACAAGTCACTCGTGCCGAAAACAACTTCGTCCAGGCCCAAAACAACACTTGCTGATGAACGCAGTCCCACAACAACGAGCCTTCTTTTGCCTGATTCGCTTTTATGCTTGAAGTCGAGCTACACGCTCCACCGGGTCCGGCACGCGTCACTCCCGTACGCCGTTGCATAACATCTCCCCGGGTAATAAGGCCGCTAGTGCTGGATGTATTACGTCACATACCAGATGCCTGCGCGGAAAGCAGACAGTGGTGTAGCCAGTGTCTGGCTGGGTTGTCCCTCAACCCAGCCAGTGGATTGAGGTGGCTGGGTTGTCCATGACTTGGGGTGCGGAGAGGGGGAGGGGGGATCAGAATGTGTATAGTAAAGGGTCGGCTGGATTTCCGGGGGGGGGGGGGGGGGGGGGCTGAAGCCTTATAACTTATAAGCATTCCCCCTGGCTACGTCCCTGGACACAGACTGGATACGTATGCTGCGTCGGTGTTCGTGCAGTTGGGACGCGGCTTCAGTCGATCGGTCAGGACACGGGTCCCAGCCGAACAATTACTCGGTACTTGTGTTCAATCTGTGCCATGCGCTAACCTCCAATATATGACGTAAAAAACGTTCAGCAGTACGGCCCTGTCATCAAGGAGGTGGCATGGCCCCCACCTAGCTTGCGCTAGCGTCTCGCCAGGTCATCTTGCAGCGACTCACAAAACGTGGGACGCTATGCACACGGCGACGTCAGGACGCGCGCCTCTGCAGCTTTGCTTCAGCTTGTTTGCCACTTGGGGCACGTAATAATAATACTAATATAACTGTGTCGAGTATATGTTTAGACAACCGGAAGTCATTCAGCCTCGACGGACGTCCGGTGTCTCAGCTGTAGATGATAAATTTCGCCGGTGCAGTAAAACCGCTAGCCTAGGGAGTTTTAAATGTGCACCACGGAGTATTGATAAACGACCGCACGCCGGTACGATACTCATCCAGATCAAAACGGGCAGGGGTGGGGAGGGTCGGGGTTTCTATTGGCGATGACGTAACGCAAAACCTCGTCTTCTGGGTTGTACTGGCATAACTCGCCATCATGCGGTGCTCGTCGACGACGACGCGACAGGGGCGAAAGGGTTTAGCGTCGTCACGCCGTTCAGCGTCGCCGCGCCGCAAAACAATCGGGGCCGGCGCGTCGGCGCACTGGTTCACGACCCGTGCACGTTTCATCCTTGGGGCTAACCCAGATGGGACTCTTAGCGTGTCGTGTGCGCCAAAGCGTGCAGCGCTACCCGTGTCGCGCACAGGGCGCAGCCGAGATCGATGATACACGTAGCTTCAACTGCGCCCGCCACAGGGCAAGAGCGGGACAAGAGAGCACCTGTTTCTGTCGGAAGGCGGGTGAGCAGTTCGCCGTAACCCCGGAGGGCGGCGCTGCTTGTCAGTACCTTGCACGGTTCTGGCACCTCGGTGGGCGACTCGCCCAGGTGCCACTCAAACCGTGAAGAACGCTCCCGATTCAATGGCGGACACCTCCTGTGTAGATTGTAGAGTTCGTCTGCGCATGCGTGGAGACGAGCTTGGAGGTACGCCACCTCGCTGCTTGTATTGCGAACGAGACCCATGAACAACCACGTGAACACGACCGAGCTGTCGGATGCACTCTCAAATCTGGGCACACTTGAGGACCGAGACGGAGATGTCGACGAGGGGGAGGGGCACTCATTCCCGGTGATTACTTTCCTTCTTAGCATCTCCGGAGAAAGTGCGATCACGTGCAGGAACATTAAGAGCGCGCGTCAACACTTGCATAATTTGCTGGTGAATCTGCACAGGATAGGGTCACGCAAAGGCTTATGCAGGGTTGTCGATCGAGAGAAGAAAAGTGTGTGTGTGTGTGTGTGTGGGGGGGGGGGGGGGGGGGGGGGGAGGGGGGTCAAAAATATAGGGGAGGCGCTCCGCAAACGAAACGAGGGGGGGGGGGGGGTATTGTATGTTTATGTATTCTGTGATAGGGAGCAATTCGTTTCACTGTTTTTCACATTTAATGACGTATAGGTACACTCGAGTATAGGACACTCAATTCGAGCAGGAAATTCGCTTACCCAGTTTCTAACAATACAACATAAAAAAAAAACCAATTCGTAACTCCTATTTGCCTAATTCAATTGCTGCTTTTTTATGTTTACGTCTGTAAGCTAATATCCTTTATTGTGCGAAACAGGAAGATTAATTTCGCGCGACGAACGATATTTGCATTCCCGAACTGCGACTGTTGTGTATTTTTTCCTGTTACAATTATCTCTCCCAGAAGAAAGAACACACTCGAACACAAACGCGCCTCAGTGACCATATACGCGTAGAAAAAAATACTAATAAAGGAAGCAAAAAAACACGCACTTCGTTAACGGACTTCGCTGACTACATTCTGCGGCAGTAACGATCTAATCAGGCACTAAAAGTTTCCCGAATTAGTTCTAATCCCCAGACAAACTCCAGGGAAACTCCCCAAACGCGCACGCGAAACAACAACAAAAAATATAAATATAAAATAAAAAAGAACCACAGGCAGCAAAAAAGAAGAAAGAAAAAATGACCGGAAGGAAAACGACACTTCCAGTCCTCCCACGGTGGAGCAAACCCAAGTAGTGCACCCACTTCCGTCAGGCGCCACCAGGGCGGCGCTACGGGTTGTTTATCGGCGTAGAACGCCTGCATTCAAGAGTCTGTCCAACTGCTTGATCGGGAGTCACGTAGTCTACGGTCCGCGTTTGCAATACGAGGTGCAGGAAGGAGACGAGAGCGCCTGTCGTCTGCAGGAGTTTTCGTCACCCCGCACGCCTGTCTCTTCTCCACGCTCATGCGCACTAGCGACTAAGGCACCCGGGAGGCGCCTGCCATCGACGTTTTGAGTTGCTCCTTCTCTCTCTTAAATCTAGGCTCTTTCTATCGGCGACGGCGGTGGCGCTGGCGTCGCCTCCGATCTCTCGGCAGTGGAAAAAAGGAAAAAGGCGCACCGGTGAAGAACGCCGGCCGGAGGCAGCCAACACCGGTGCGGGCGTGCATCTGCCTGTTGCATCGTCGCATCGTCCCCACGTCACCCCAGCGGCGGTGAGTTGCCGCTTTGTTCATTTATTTGTCATTTAAACTGGACGCGCGAGACGGACGGATATGGGTTGCGCGTTTACCTCGTTTAGTACGTCTTCGTATTTCGAGTAGCCCGCATCAACAGGAAGCGAATGAGACTGTCGCATCGGAGGCGGAGAAGACGCGTGATTATCGTCGTCAGCTGATCTTTTTTTATCTCCGACAGTCTGGTTGCTTGCGTTATCTCTCTTCGATTGTGTGCTTTGCGAGGAGCGGATGCATCTCTCTTATCTCTGCGCGGTCTGGGAGGAAAGAAAATAATAATAAAAGAAATATTATTGGAAACTTGAGTGTGCCTTAGGACGGAATGGGGCTATATTTCGTTTCATCGTCAGTCAGACCGCACTCGATATCTCCAACAAATGCGACCACTGATATAAATACAAAAAGCGCAAGTCATGGGCATTTCCCGCACTCGATTTCCTTAGCCGAAGATTAAACGCGTACAGAACGATGACGAACACTGTTACGTCGCGTCTTTTGACGCTGTTTGACTTGTCCCCTTGAGTCGTACCGTCGGTGTCACTTTGGTGTAGGGTGAAAGGGAGTATAACCTTAGTTTTTAGCCATAAATTTATAATTACGTGCCTCCAACCCTCACCTTTCCCATCGAGCGATATGATATATAACACTCGATCTGGTCATATGCTACGCGTTCGGCTCCTAGTAGCTCCGTTACCTATCGATTTGTCACGTTCCGAGCCCCAGTCTGAACCAGAATTTCTTCGAAACCTGGCAGGTATGCCAAAAAAGCATGTCGAGCTGTTTGCTCTCATAGTCTCCCCAATAGTCCCTTCAGTACATTTAATCTTACTTTCTTTGATTTATCGTGTTTTATATATATAGATATATATATTAGGATTTTCCTATTTTAGTTTTGTTCTGATGTGCAACGCTCGACATCTGCGTCATATACCTATGTCATAGTTTTTGATGCCATGGCAGTGTCTTAGACCTTAAAAAGAAGAAAACGGCGAACCTCATTTCTTGGAAATACCAGCAGAAAACACAACTGAAAATGAACTAGGAGCATTCAAGAAAAACGTTTACCCTCGAGTACGGTGTCACCACTACCCTGCGCGCTTGTCCTTGCCGTTGGCGCCGTAATTTCCAAGATGAGGAATTAACCGGCTATACTTCCTTTCACCATGCCTCCGAGCGCAGGCGACGCTATAGCAGACGATGAAGCGAATCAAACAGGGTTCGAAAGCGCAGCGTCGCTGCGTCTGCAACTGCTTCCGCGAGTGCGCTGTTGCCTTCTATCTAGGGGTGTGCGAATAGTGGTTCGAATCAAATAGCGCAGCGTCATCCCTTGCTTCTGTACTGTTCAAAAAGCTATCTTCCTTCTCCCTTGCATTGTCAAGGCTATGAATGACGCAGCGCTATTCGGTTCAAACCAATATTCGCACAACCCTACTTCTAACTCAACCAAACGTAAAAAAACGTGTCGTGAACTTGCGATTTTTTTTTTTTTTTTTCTAAGGGGGAATGTTTTCGCGCGTGCTTGAAGCATTTGACTACGTTCTGACTCGATAAAACGAAGTACGGGGTCTCTCGTGAACCCCGCTGGCTCGATGCGATGAACATGATCGCTGGAAACAGTCGGGACGCTCCCATCGAACCGCGGTCACATCGCTGGTACACCATACAAAAGACGCTGGGTTCTCTGCAGGCATAAAGACAGATCTGCGAACAGGCCTCAGGGATGTTCGGATCACGTTTGCTCCTTGCCTCGTGTTCGCTTCGAACGCGCCGGCAGACAGCTTTTGTGCTGCCAAACTGAGAGCCATCATACTGGGAAAGAAAGCACCCCTCGTACAGTGTCTGCTAATTCTCTTTTCCATTACATATCGGTAGCGTAACCGCAGCTGTAGTAGGGGAGTGTTCGAATCGCGATTCGAATCGAGTAGCAGCCCGCAGTGTCGTTCCCATATCTTCGACACTGGTACTTTTGTTCTCTCTGCTTTTAAAATTCGAAGTTGACAATGGGTTCTGTGCCTTCACGCGTTGGCAACCTTCGGGTTCACATTCGGTTTGTACACGATTCTAGAAGGTTCAACCAAAGAACCTGGTTATGGTTCTCTGGGTGAAGGACGTTCCGAGCTGAACAGTTCTACTTGCGTGTCCGGCAATATATGGTGCTATGCTGCCATATTGTTAAGTCTTTCTCGGGTTGCCCATATGCCTTTGTCGCAATAGACACGTACTCAGGTTACTATTAAAACGAGGCTTTTTAAACTTCGTTGTACATGTGACTCCTCAAAAGTAACGAAAGACCATTACTCGTCACTTGGCCTTAAAAGTAACTGAGTACGTTACTAGCTCATTTTCTGAACAAAGTAAACAAATACGTTACTCGTTACCGAAAAAGTAACTAGATAGGAGTGACTCGTCACTAGAAACGCGTTACGTACGTGTCTGGTCATGAGTCGATGCATGCCAATGGAACAGCGCCAAAAGCTTGAAGTCATAGTGTGCGCCGTTTTATCCTTTGAGTAACCCGGCTCAACCAATAAAACAGCGCAAATGCGCTATAGTCTTGTGCTTTTGGTCGGTACGCCACTGTACGTCGTCTTCGACCGCCCTCTGACTTATGGTGAAACGAAGTATAGACTTTTTTTAAATAGCTAAGGGTGTAACAAAAAAAACACACAAAAAAGTGTTTCTTTTTTTGTTTTGTTTTTACTGCAAAAACAAACTAGGCATCGCCGAACGCTCATTTTTCGCCCAAAGGTAGCTCTAGAGCTCACAACCAGATGACATAATTTCAGCCCGATCTGATACCTTATTCAAAGATTATAAGTGATTTACTGAAAATTTCAATGGGAAAATGGCGGCCGACGGAGTTTTTGAATACATGGGGCTCTATGGGTACCAGAAACTGAAAACAGGCGAACGTAGGCTCCATTTTCCCATTGAAATTTTCATTGGCATCTGCTCTTGGAAGAAGATCCATCAGTGTGTGATCAGTGTGGTGACAGGCTCCCTGTTTTGCATTTGCATACATTGTGGCTGTGTCCCAGCCATGAGCCCAAGCGCCGCATTCATTTTCCTGAATCTTTTCAACATCATATCCCATTTAATCCTGCTCTTGTTGTGGGAGAGAATCCTCTAGTCTCTCTTGAACAAGTAATAGAATTTCTTAGTGGTATTGGCCTTTTACACCGACTCTAGCCTTTTGGTTATTCTTTTGTGAAACCTCTCCTATAGTACAATGATACTTACAATTAGTTTGGCCCAGATGGCCTCATAGCTTTTGCGCCATAAAACCCCCCAAAATCTCTCTCCCCTCCAATCAAATTTTCAGATAATCGCTTATAACTTTTGAATAACGTGTCCGTTCGGGCTGAAACTTTGGCATCTAATTGCGACCTCTAACGCTACCTTTGGGCGGAGAACGAGCGTTAGGCGATGCGTAATTCATTTTGTATTTTTTATTTTGTTTTACAATAATCCAGGCGCAGCCGACGTTAAGAGCAAATGAGACCGGATAAATAGCGTGAAAATCGCAACGTCGCGGTGCCCGTCATAGTTCTGTACGTGTCCTAACGTCGCTAAACCAAACACGTCCAGTCAAGGCCCAGTGGTTGTACGCGTTCGTGTCTCGGACTTCGCTCTGGCATATGATGAAACGAAGTGTAATAAAAGCAGTGTCTCACTTTGCACTGCATTCGCGACTCCTGTAAAACTAACGGCGCCTAGCGAAAAAAAGAAAACCACTGAATTGGGGCCTTAAACTTGTCAAATCCAAAGTTGAAGCCAAAAGTTTGCGGAGCACGGCGATTGGACGCCGGCGACAAAAGCGCGAAGTCATCGTCGTGATATTCCAATCGGTGCGCTCCGTCTACTTCGGCCCCAACGTTGTGTTTGACGAGTTTAAAGCCCTCTTTTCGCTACTTCTGCTCGACTCTTCTGGCTTCCGCGATTACACGTTGGCGGTGTTTCGCGCGATAGAACACTTGTTTCGCGGTGACTCTTTCGTAACTGTATACAGTAGCAGCTTGTTCTCAGGTTACTCTGCACGGGACCTGTACGCAATCACGCGAAACCAGACATTCCGCGTTTCTATGAACGTTCATCAGTACCGTAGAAGGACAGTCGGCAATCATTTCCTCAATCACTCAAAAAAAAAAAAAAAAGTCGAGCCTTTGGAAGTTTGTTTAAGCCGACACATCGCCGCACGTACGAAACGTGGAGGATAAAAAAAGCGGGGACAAACCATTTTTGAGTCCAACGCTCGCTCACTGATTGCGCCAGCGTTGCGCGTTGAGCTGGGCATATGGCACACGGCACGACCTGCTAGTAGACCGCCATATTTGACGTCACGCCTCTGCGGTGGCGCTGCTGTCGGTACTGCGCATGCGCGGACGCTTCACTTCTCCCGAATTTGGCTTGCGCGCACGCGCAGTACCCACACATGGTGCGGGCAAACGCGGGCTTCTTTGGAGACGCTCTGTTGGTGTCGGTGGAATCGCGAATACTCCGTTTCAGTTGACCGCTACACTCCGACGTGGCCAATCAAACTGCGCCAAAAGTGCAGCGTCACGGCGCTCATCGTCGTTGCGCGTTTGCTACCAACGATTAAGCCTACCGCACCCGGTGACCGCGTCTCGATCTTACGCTTTATTGTTTTTCTGCGCGTGGTTGGTTTATGCGGTAATAGCAGACCCACAAAAAGAAGACAACGACCACCGTGACGATGCATTTTTTGGCTCTGCTTGATTGTATCAGTTAACTCGTAGCGTCTAACGTGGTCGGGATAATATGAAACGCGGCGTGGATGATACCTGCGAGGGCTCGCGCCATTTTGGGAACACCGAGTCAGTTATCCGCGTTAACGCTGCGGAACGAATCGATTGATTCGACTAACCCACCGATTAATCGACGAAGGCATTAATCTGCGAGGAATGCGTTCATCGGTTGAAACGCGAATGCCTCATTTGGGGTTGTCACGCGTATGTCCT